ATTCGCTCATCATTCGCGTGCCTGCTTGATGCACGGCTCTTATTTCTTTCTTGCCAGCCAACCCACATCAAGGTGGGTCCATTTCTTTGCGCTCCGGGCTCTCCCAACTGCAGATTGTCAGGTCTTTCGACCGGATAATATATGTTTGCCGCTCGAACTGGTGTCGCGGGCTCCACGCCAGCGGGTGGCCAATTTTTGTTTAAGGATCTTTCGGGCCGATGGGTGTGGGGATTGGGAGGAGGGAGGGGGAAGGAGGTGGAGGTGGGGTGCGGGCCACATGTTCTCACAGCATGTCGGCCGAAAGGCCCTACAGAGAGGCCCAGTCGTAGGAATCGGAACCTCCGAAAGCGTTGCAGGTGAGAGTTGCCACGGGCTCGAGGCTACCTCTCTCGTTGCCACGGGCTTGAGGCTACTTCTTTAAAACACATCCTGATCCTTGCTCCGGACGGATCTGCCGGCGCGGCCTGGGGTGGGAGGTTTTCGGAGCAGGCAGGGCGCGGGTGCTCAATATACATTATTGAGAAGGCCGTGCGGCTGGTGCCGCCGACCCTTAAAACGACGACTACGAGGATGAGGATGAGGATGAGGATGAGGATGAGGATGACGAGGAGGATGAGGATGAGGATGAGGATGAGGATGAGGAAGAGGAGGAGGAGGAGGAGGAAGAGGAGGAGGAGGAGGAGGAGGAGGAGGAGGAGAGGAGGGGAGGAGATGGGCAGAAGGAGGAGGTAAGAGGGGGAGAAGGAGCAGGAGGAGGAGGAGGAGGAGGAGGAGGAGGACGAGGACGAGGAGCAGGAGGAGCCGCATGAGGCGGAGGAGGAGGAGGAGGAGGAGCAGGAGGAGGAGGAGGAGGAGGAGGAGGAGGACGCCGAGGAAAGAGGAGGTGAAGAAGGAGGAAGAGAAGGAGGAGGAGGAGGAGGAGGAGGAGGAGGACTTGGAGGAGCATGGCGAGGGGGAGGCAGAGGTTGAGGCGGAGGAGGAGGAGGACGACGACGATGTGGACGTGGATCAGAGTCCAGAGGGATACGTCCAGAGGCTTCTTCGGAGCGCGCTCGGAGGCCGCTGGGGTGTAGGTTGGGGGCGACGACGAAGACGATGACGACAACGACAACGATCATATTAAGACTGTTCGCTTTTACTGGCACGTGTATCTTGTATTCTGTATACCCCAAGCCTCGATACCCCCCACTTCGTCGTCGATTGCACCCCCTTTCGGGGGGAATATCTTCCTTGTCGGCCGCTGAGTGAAGTGCGATGAACTCTCGAGCGAGAGCGCCGTTCCTGAGTTCGGGGGCCTCTCTGGCCAGGGCCTCTCGGAATACATATGGAGAACCATCGAACGGGAACCCTTGTCGCCGTGTCTGGGCCTCCACCAACACGCTTTAATTACGAGAATGTCTCGAGAGGGCCATTCTTGAGTTCGGGGGCCTCTCTGGCAAGGGCCTTCAGGAAGTATCGAACGAGAGCCCTTGTCGTCGTAGCTGGGCCTCCACCAATTTTACTGAATCGCGAGAAAGTCTCGAGCGAGAGCGCAGTTCCTGACTTCGGGGGCCTTCATGACCAGGGGCTCTCGGAGTAAATCGTCGACGACGACGACGACGACGACGACGACGACGACGACGACGACGACGACGACGACGACGACGACGACGACGACCACGTGGGTCAGAGCGCTTAGGGATGCTTCAGGGGGTCTTTTCGGAGCGCTCTCGTCGGCCCCCAGGGGGTAGGTTGGAGGCCTCTTGGGACGCTCTCGGGGCTTGTCCAGAGGCTTCTGGGATCCTTTGAGGGTTTCCCGGTGGGGGTCTTTGGGTAAATTCCGGGGGTGGTTTGGGGAGTCCTGGGAGCCTTGAACGCCGAAGGCTCGTCGAGTATTCGGTCTGGGCAGTCTCTGGGATCCGTCTTGGAGGCATCTGGGGCCGTCTGGCAGGCCTCTTGGGTGGTCTTGGGGCTCTCTGGGGTCGTTGTGGGGGTCTCTTGGAGACCTGTTGGGTTATCTTGTTGCGATATGGAACCCCTCTGGGGCGATTTGGCGCATGGGGAAGCCGAGAAGGCCAGAACACCAACAACGATCAAAAACCTAAGGACAATCAACAATTTTGGCCTCTCCAGGCTCTATTGAGAGCGCTCTGGGAGGTCTCTTGGGGTGTCTTGGAAACGTCTTGGTCCGTGTGGAGACTCCTCGGGCGTCTTGGACCGGTCGTCTTCGGATTCGAGGCCCTCATGAACCGAATTGGGAGGCCTTTGGGTCGCTCTGGCCGCGTCTTGAGGCTTTCGTAGGCCCCGGGGCCGCCAGGGGGGGATGTGTATCGAGGTGGCGACCCCCCCCGGGACCCACACCCTGGGACCCCCCTCCCCGAAGGGGAAGGGATCAAAGGGAAGGGGCTTCCCTTCCACTCAGCCACGACATTTCGCTATGGAGAGGACCTTCCAGGAGGCTCCTGACGGCCTGGGAAGGTTCCCAAGAGGGCTCCAAGAGGGCCCGAGAGCCTCCCAGACAGCACAATCCCTTCAAGACGGTACAAGAGGCGAAGAGGGTCCGAGAGGGTCTCCAAGCGACCCGACGTGCCAAAGTTGGAATTTCGCTTGGGACATCCTCAAGAACTGTCCTCTCGTGGGATCGCTTTCGGAATGCCTCAAGATGGCCCAACATAGCCCAACAAGATGGCTCTAGGATGACTTACTCCCTTACTTCCGCCCGCACAACTAGGAGCTCGCTAGGGACATCCTCACAATAATGAGATGCTGCCGACATCGCTCTTACCCAACATGGCGATTGCGCTCGGGACATCCTCGCAAAATGGCCCAACATGGTCGTCGTCCATGTGGCCCTCGTCTCCCCCCTCCTTCGGGCATCGTCCAGTTTATGCATCTAGGTCCCCATCGTTCTCGGCGTGCTTCTCCCTGCCCTGCCGGTTTTTTTCCGGTGTAGCACCCTCTTCGATCAATGGCGTTTCTCGCCTGCGCCCCCTCGTCGCTGTCGAGCTGGGCTCTGTTCGCAAGCGGCCTTGCGCGGGCAGCGCTTCGATCGATTGCAAAAAAACAAACGATCCTTTTTTTTTTTTTTTTTTTTTTTTTTTTTGGTTTTTTTGTTTTTTTTTTTTTTTTTTTTTTTTTTTTTTTTTTTTTGTTTTTTTTTTTTTTTTGTTTTTGTTTTTTTTTGTTTTTTTTTTTTTGCAATCCTTCGTTCAAGAGAGGCTCGGACTTCGGGGCGCGCACGCGCGTGCGGCAACGACTCGCGCGGCGAAGCGTGGCGCGGCCCGCGCGCCGGGCAGCGGCGTCGCCGCGCCCGGGCCTGCCTGCCCGACGGTGACGTCTTGTCACCAGCGGGGTCTGCGGCTACTCCAGATTTCGTAATAAAGGGAGGGGGGATTCATTTCGGGGGGGGGGTCTCTTCCAGGCTATCTTGGAGGGCCTGGGGGGTCTGGGGACGATGTTTTGGAGGGTTCTCCCACGGGGGAGGTCTGAGATGGCTTGTCTTGGAGGATCCAGACCCCCTCCCTTTTATTACGAAATCTGGAGTACCCAACGAAACCGAACCACAGACCCCTGAGGCTCGGGCCTTGCCTGTAGGTGCAAGGCCGGCGCCTTCTAAGAAGCAGGGGTGTTTCCAAGGAGCCTTCCCCCTCCCCTTGCCCCCTCGCGCGCGCCGCCAACATCTACGGAATCGTTGGGCATCTGCAGCTACGCGAAGATCCGACCTGTATTGTGTCCAAGGTGTCCATCTATCCCTCCGAGACCGCCCATAAGTCTCTGACTGCTTGAATGTTCGATGAGGCGCAGTCTGGTCGTAGAATCATTGGGGTTATGAGATACTGAAGGAAGGCGCCTATCAATGTATCGCCGACCCGTGTGGCTTTCACGATGCACCCGTCGACACTTGTCGACAGCACGGCGTGCATTGCTTATTGCCCGTTCTGGGATAAGCGTTGGTCAGGCTGGTGGGTGCCTGTGGTCAAAGGGCTGTGCTTGCTGCTTCACCCTGGCCATCCGAGACGGTGGCCTTAGCTCGGGCACGTCCCCCTACAGGCGTATTTTGAACGGAAAATCAAAAATCGCCCAAAGGTCTTCAAAACATGCTCAGACATAGGCCAAAAATAGTCTCCATCTTATTTGTTTTGTGGCTATTTTTGGATATGCCTCCTGTAGAGGGACAGGCCCGACTTACGGGTAACCTCGCCGCGGTGAGGGTCAGGCAGACTGGCAGCGGGTACCCTGCCCTCCCGCTCCGGCCTGCGGACGGCACGCGCGGCCACGGCGCGCCCAGGCGCTGGCGATTGGCATTGGCGTCGCTGTCCGCTGCTGCTGTTGCCCTCTGCGTGGTTGCCCGCCCGGCGAGGAGGGAGTGCGTGAGGGTCGGGAGCCTCGAGGTCGGGGGCAGCAAAGAGGGGGGTGATGACTAGGGGGGTGGATATCATGCTGGGGGCCATGATATCTCCCCAGATTTTATGGCGCCTCTTCTTGTTTCAGTGCGTCCCTGGCCCCCCCGCTGGGCCGCGCACATGCCGCCGGTCATGATTTGCACCCCCCCCCCCTTGGACACCCCCCTCTTGGCCGCCCCCGACCTCGAGGCGGGGTTCGATGCAAACGGGGGTCAGCCAGAGCGCCCGATCTTGCAGGACCCTGCAGGGGCAGGGTCGCATTGACCCGGGCTCGGGTGCAGCATCCTGCAGGATATTGCAGGATCCTTCGCGTCGACCCGGGCTTGGGTGCAGGATCCGGCAGGATCTTGCAAGAGTGTGCAAGGCCTGACTGACCCGGGTTTGGATTGACCCGGGTCAGAAGATCCCCGAGAGGGAGGATGGGAGGGACAGAGCCCCCTCCCAGTAGGGATTGAGTGCATGGACTCGCTGGTCCTCTTGCCCGATGCCGGTCGAGGGACGTGTTGCGCACGACGGGCGGCAGCCCATCAGCACGAGTGCATTGGAGGCAGGGAGCCGTGGCGCCACCGACGATAAAAAGAGTTCTGGGCAGTTTCGTGTAAGACATGCGGCATCTAGTGGCAGCACCCCGTCGCCGACGAGCGAAGAGCAACGTGGTGGCTCCGAAGTGCAACATGGTGGCGATGCGCAGCACAGTGTCTGTAGCCAGGACACGTTTTGTTTAATTGATCTCTTTTGGATGGGGAGGAATAGGAAAGGATGGGAGACAGTCGTTGCTGATGTACTTGGCCGCTCATCCACTCCCGCTACCGCTCTTTGGCCCTTCGGAGCAAGCTCCAACCACACGTGTGTGTGTGTTTGTGTGTGTGTGTGTGTGTTTCGGCAACCTCCCCCTGTTTTGCATTACTCGCTTGAGCAAGACTGCAAACTTTACTCATGCTGCACCGCTCAAGTGATGCGCCCAACCGTCACGGACTCGAGGGTGGGGACTTCCGTTTGTTCCTATCCCGGCGTTCTGAGGCGTCCGCAGCCCCACGAGGCGCCCTGTTCTACGAGCCTGATAGACCTGGCGCCCACGCGGGTTTCCTAGGATGGGCTCGTTTTCCACCACCACAAGCTGGAGGGGGGAAGGAGGTGGAGGACGAGGAGGAGGAGGAGGAGGAGGAGGAGGTGGAGGAGGAGGACGAGGAGGAGGACCCCCTCCCCCACCAGCTTGTGGTTGTTTGTGGTGGTGGAGAACAGGCCCATCATCCTATCTGACCGTGCTTCTGGAAGGTGGCCATGCGTTGGCCTGTTATGGTCCTGAACCTTCTCCGTGGTCAGCAGCAGTCCGTGGGCAGCTCGCACACACTGCGCTCACAGCACAACTCAGGAGGGAAAAATACACAGACACAATGGATCGTCGACCCCCCAGAAAATATAGGAAAATATGGGAAGTGGGGGGGGAGACATAAACCCAGAACGTTAGGGGAAATATAGGGAATCCTGTTATTTGTGTCTACTTATTTGTGTGTCCCAGGGCCCCTTCAAAAAACCTTTGTGGTGCGAAGCTTACTCACGCAGTGACCGCGTAGTGTACACCTTTTGGCTGTGGAGTTGTTTTCCCCTTCTGCACGCGTTAGCACATTCATCCCTTTGGAAACCGTTCTGTGCATCTTCGAGCAGTTCGGGGGAACATTGTTCCTCTGGTTCGCAGAGGTAATTCATGGGATGCTCCTTGCGCCGGGGTATTGGCTGGTGTGGCCGATGAAGGGTATTACTCATCGGGGCTCAAGGGGCGGGTCAATGCAATCGGGGGTCAGTCAGAGCACCAGATCTTTGAGGACCCTGAAGAGCCAGTGGTGCATTGACCCAGGCTTGCGAGGAGGAGGAGCAGGAGCAGGAGGAGGAGCAGCAGGAGGAGGAGAAGGAGGAGGAAAATGTAGGAGGCGGAGGAGGAGGAGGAGGAAGATGTAGGAGGCAGAGGAGGAGGAGGAAGAGGAGGAGGAGGAGCAGTAGATCCCCGATGTCAGTGCGCCAGACTCGGCCCTCTGGGGTGGGTCAACGAGCCTTCAGGGAGAAGGGGCGCGAGGATTCCGCACGGATGGCAGACAGCTCCTGGGGACCGCAGGAGATCGGAAGGTTGAGCGCGCGTGCAGCTCGGAATCGAAGAAAAAAATCGCCATGAACATAAAAATTGGCGCTCCGCGCGGATCCCTTGGATTGGCGCATTGGCGCCTGGGCCCCCCCTGGGCGGCGCCTCCGGCGCCGCCCCTGGCGCGCTCCGCGCGTCAAGGAGGGGGGTCCAGTGCAGATCCAAGAAACCCGCGCGAAGCGCCAAAAGCTTATGTTGATGGTGTTTTTTCTCCTTCTGAGGTTGAGCGCATGTGCAGCTTGGAAGGCGTGTGGTGGACATCCAGGGTTCCCGTCGAGAGGCGTGTCAAACAAAAAAATCTGCGAGGTTCCGAGGTCCAGTTTGGCTCTTGGAAGCCCCCCGGCCCTCAGGATTCGGGCGCGGCACTTTTCCGAGGAGCGCAGCCCAGACCGATCCTCTGAGCGTTGCTTGGCGCTTGCAGGGGTGTCGGGGTATCTTGTTCGTCCAGCCGAGGCGTCTGTGGATGTGGAGAGGGGGTCCAGGACCATGCTGTGACGTCAAAGGTGGGGAGCGGCGTAGCGGCGGAGAGGGCGCAAGAAACAGGTCGTGGTGGCATTCGCGATGGTGAGAGCAACTTGGAGGGAGTTAGTGGCAGTTGCACCTATGCTGGTAATGACGCGGATAACGAAGCTGGAACTGAAGGCGGCAATGGTGTTTATGATGGTCATGCGTTTGTTCGTGATTGTTTTGTTTTTTTAAGAATGCGGGTGTGGCAATGGCACGGCCAAAATTTTCCAGAATGGTTGCCAGCAGTTTGTTGTACACGGCTTTGTGGTTTTGCGACGTAGTCGCGTAGCTTGAAGGTTCCGTGCAGTGGCACCAACGCGCATTGGAATTGTGCTCTAATGGGGGATGGGTCCCTGTATGCTCTTTTGGTCGTGGAGGGTGAATGAAAACAGCTCAAAGGGAAAAGCTGGCGATGACGTCTGCCAGTGAAGGGCTCGCAGCGTAGAGATCTGTTCTATCGCTGGTTCCGGCGAGCACAACAGTCTTCAGCCCCATATCCCTTGAGGTCCGCTCTGCCTGACCATTCGTATGTCTCTCCGTCCTGTTCGCAGATCTTGACTCGTATACAACATGCTGCTTACTCGGAACAATCCTTTCCCCAATCTGGTCTTCAGTCATGTCGCTATGCATCAGGGAGCCTGGTTTTGGTTTTATGTTGTTGCCGTCTATCAAGGTTTTTCTCCTGCCATGCGCGCTTCATCTCTATGTCTATGTCCCTCGGGACGAGAAGCCGGCCCCAGGGGAAAGTTGTCCAGGCCTCCGAAGTCCACGCGCCGAAACCAAAAATGGAGCCCTGGATGTTTATATCCGTGGGGATCCGAGCTGGTTCAATACGCCCGCTCTGATACGCAAGACGTACCGTGCCCAAACCGTCCGTGCCAATACGTTGCTTGTTGGCTCAACGTTTTGGCCCACGGTTTGGCGAGCGAATCGCGTCAGACCTACATATCTACGATCAGTATCAATAAGAAACGTGTTGCGTGTTACGTATGGGGGCAGCGAGCAGTGGCGCAGATTCCTGGCTCGCCTGCTCGCCTGCGGGCGCACCAAGCAATGTTCTTAAAACCTCGTGTGGTCTGCACGGAAGGTTCTTAGAGCACTTCTGGCTGAGGCCAGCTTGTTCAGCACGTCGGGCTGTACGTTCTGGGAACATTGTTTTGGTTCTAAGAACATATTCTGGTTCCACGTGCATGTCGCGGCAGGCCTGAAGGAGTGCCGGGACGGCCAGAGTCAGGCTCCTCGAGGGGCGCCATCCCATGGCGGCCTGCGCGCTCCTCTGATGTGTCCTTCTGGACTGATCCAAGCGCCCGAGGTGGGATCGGGGCCCCAAGTAGCCCTGGGTCTAAGGTCTGACCCTTGCCTGCGGGCCCGTGCGCCCTGTGCGGTGCGTGCGCCACGCATCCAAGATATCAGGAACAATCGGGGGAGCGTAAGACCCGGGTTTGCCAGGACTCGGGTTCGCCATCGTTTTTTGACGACCGCGACTCGGATTTTGACGAGTAGGAGTTTCGTTGGATGTCTGCAGCGGGAGGCCTCGTCAAAATGCAGGCTCGGCCTCGTCATTTTTGTTGACGACCTCGTCGGGGATTTCCGAGTCCCCCGTAACCGGGTCTTACGTCTCCCCGAAACAAGCACGAACTCCTTGGATTGCGGGGTCACCTCCCCCGTCCCCCTTGGCGGCGCTCTCGGCGCCGCTCTCGGCGCCGCTCCTGGCGCGCACTGCGCGCAGAGAGCGGCGGAGGTCGAGGAGGAGGAGGAGGGCGAGGAGGGGGAGGGGGAGGAGGAGGAGGAGGAGGAGGAGGAGGAGGAGGAGGAGGAGGAGGAGGAGGGGAGGAGGAGGAGGAGAGGAGGAGGAGGAGGGGGAGGAGGGGGAGGAGGGGGAGGAGGTGGAGGAGGAGGAGGAGGAGGAGGAGGAGGAGGAGGAGGAGGAAGGAGGAGGAGGAGGGAGGAGGAGGGGGAGGAGAAGGAGGAGGAGGAGGAGGAGGAGGAGGAGGAGGAGGAGTTGGAGGAGAAGGAGGGGGAGTCAATGTGTCGATGCCTTGCTTGGCTTCCCGGGAGCACGCGCGGCCGCAGAGCCGGCCGGCCGCCCCCGGATCGGGCCCCCGAGGCACGCCCCCAGCAGCTTTTACGCGAGGCCCCTCTGCGCGGGGAGCGCGCCCGCCGTCGGATGGCGTGCTCTTGGGCCGGGGTGGTCTCGCGCGGACGTTCGCGGTGTCAAGCAGTGGCGAAGCGTCCGGGCTCGCCTACAGGCTCACCAGGCAATCTTCTCAGAACCTTTGATGGTCTGCACGACATGTTCTTAGAACATTATGACCGAGACTGTCTTGGTTTAGCACATCGGGTTACTGTTCTAAGAAAACTGTTCTTGATATAAAAACAGTTTTCGGTTCTACGAAGAGTTCGTGGTAGGTCTATAGGAATGTCGGGACGGTCGGTCCCTGCTCAACTGGCGGGATGTGCGGGAAAGGACGTCCCAACGTTGCGGGCAAGATTTTTGCCCATATCCACTGCGTCTTGGAGTTTCGGGCTCCCCCCCTCCGATGCCAGAGGCGCCGTGGATCTGGATATAACAATTTCGCGCCCAGAGGTCAGACTTTTATCCACATCCACTGCGCCGCGGCCTGGTGGCGCCCCTTCCAAGAAAGTGCATGACGCAGTGGATATAGATATCAATCGTGCCCGCGAGCGTGCCGTTTCTGGCTGCCTCGGCAATCGTGGCTGCTGGCGCGGGTGGCAGGCTCAAAGCTGCGCTGCCCGTCCCCAGTTCGGCCCAGGCTGGGTCCGATTTCGGACGATGGCGCCCAAGTCCGCCCCACGAGCGAGGTCTTGAGCTTCGGCGCGAGCAGCCAGCGTAGCCGCCGAGCTAACGCAGGGAAGAGAAGCAGACAGGATTCCGCCAAGGGTCGACGAGCCTTGTTTCCAGGAGGCAGAATGACCAGACGATGGTTGCAATGCGCTTTGGGTCCAGCGAGCAGGGCATTGACTGGCTCCGAGCCCACCTCCCCCTTGCTCTCCTCCTCCTCCTTCGCCCCCTCCTCCCTCGCCCCCTGTCCTCCTTGTCGTCATCGTAATGGTCCCTCTTCTTCTCCTCCGCAGCTGGATGCGGCGTGACCCAGGCACTCTCTCGCAGTGCTCTGTCCGGATGGCACCCGTCCTTTCGCTCCGCCATCCGCAGCGTCCTCCAGGCAAGGTCGTCGGAAAATATGCGCGAAGTGCCGTCGCTGCTCGTGTTTTTGGCTTGCACAGGACAGGTGGCCCAGGATAAGAAGAAGTGGGTGTTGAAGCAGGAGGAGGAGGGGGAAAAGGGCGAGGAGAAGGGTGGGGAGGAGGGTGAGGGTGAGAGGGAGCAGGGCCAGGAGGTGACAGCAAGACGAATCATCGACTGGTAGCGCTTTGCTCCTCTATCTTCGCGATGGGCTACGCTCGGATTATTGTTCGTCCATCCCTCCTGTTTAGGGGGGATGGGATGAAGAAGACGGAGGAGAAGGAAGGGGGAAAGGGAATACGAGGCAGAGGAGTAGAAGGACGAAGAAGAGGGACACAGAGGCGGAGGGTGTGGAGAGGAGGAGGCTGAGGCGGAGGAGGAGGATGAGAAGGACTAGGAAGTTGGATTGATCTGTGGGGCTGGAACCTAGCGATATGGTAGGCAATACACTTGAACACTTGGGGGCACCCCGAGGGGGAGCCGCCGGGGAGTGGATCACGGGCCCGCTCGCGGGCAGACTCTGGGGACGTCTCCCGCGATTCGTCTGCTTTGTCGCGTCGGGCTCTCTCTTCTTGGCATCGCTTGGGACGTGTGCAGTTTTTTGTTCGGCGAGGGCCATCGATGAGCATGTTTTTTTGTTCACCTTGTACCGTTGTTCAGCTTGCGCAAAAGAAAGAACGCGCGCGAATTCGAAACATGCACGGGGAATGGACGTCCGAGCCGTGGCGGGTCTTGAGAGCCTCATGGCCACCCCAGATCTAGCAGGCGCAGCGCTTGGGCCCGCCGCAAGGGGTGAACCTCGGGCCCTCTCGTGCCCCCGGACTGCGGAGATGCCTCCAGCGGTTCGCTTGCTTAGGCGCCTCGGAGTCGCTGCATTTCGAGAGCCCCGCGAGCACCGCGATACCCAGACCCCCCCCCCTCCTCTTCCTCCTCCTCCTTCCTCCCTCCTCCGTTCGTCGTCATAGAGGTCTCAGAAAAGCATCTAGGAGCCCAGACCCCCTCGCGTGGTGACAAAAATCACGACAGGAGTTTTTTCCCTCTTTTCGGCCTCCGAGGCCCTCACTGGGCCTCGGGACAGTCAACAAATTACGCTACCGAGGAACCCCACATACTATGTTTAATCACTTGTGTTCGCACAGCTGGTGTGCAACATGTGGACCACGCTCGCAGCCGCTACCATGCTGCTACCGTCGAGAGGCGCTCATAGTGGGACCAACCCCTGCGCACCCCATATGGCGTCGAGAAAGTGCCACGCCTGCTTTGTCTTGAACGTGAGGCGCGCATACCGAGACCACCCCCTGCGCACCCCCTATGGGGCCGAGAGCATGCCACGCCTGCTGTGCCCTGGACGAGAGACGCGCGCATAGCAGGACTCCCCCTGCGCACCCCCCATGAGGTCGAGAAAGTTCCACGCCTGCTGTGCCCTGGACGAGAAGCGCGCATACGGAGGCCACCCCCTGCGCACCCCCTATGCCGATTGGGGGCAAGAGAATGCTACGTTTGATGTGCCCTGGACGAGAGGCGCGCATAGCGGAACCACCCCCTGCGCACCCCGTGCGGGGTCGAGAGCATGCCACGCCTGCTGTGCCCTGGACGAGAGGCGCGCATACGGAGACCACCCCCTGCGCACCCCGTGTGGGGCCGAGAGCATGCCACACCTGCTGTGCCTTGGACGAGAGGCGCGCATAGGGAGACCACCCCCTGCGCACCCCCTTTTATGGAATCGAGAGCATGCCACGCCTGCTGTGCCCTGGACGAGAAGCGCGCATAGGGAGACCACCCCCTGCGCACCCCGTGTGGGGTCGAGAGCATGCCACCCCCTGCGCACCCCATATGGCGTCGGGAGAATGCCACGCCTGTTGTGCACTGGACGAGAGGCGCGCGTAGGGAGAGCACCCCCTGCGCACCCCGTGTGGGGTCGAGAGCATGCCACGCCTGTTGTGCCCTAGACGGAAGGCGCGCATAGGGAGACCAGCCCCTGCGCACCCCGTGTGGGGTCGAGAGCATGCCACGCCTGCTGTGCCCTGGACGAGAGGCGCGCATACCGAGACCACCCCGTGCGCACCCCATATGGGGCCGAGAGCATGCCACGCCTGCTGTGCCCTGGACGAGAGACGCGCATAAGGAAACCACCCCCTGCGCACCCCCTTTATGGGGTCGAGAGCATGTCACGTTTGCTCTGCCCTGGACGAGAGGGGCGCATAGGGAAACCAGCCCCTGCGCACCCCCTATGGGGTCGAGAGCATGCCACGCCTGCTGTGCCCTGGACGAGAGGCGCGCATAGGGAGACCACCCCCTGCGCACCCCCTTGTGGGGTCGAGAGAATGCCACGCCTGTTGTGCCCTAAACGGAAGGCGTGCATAGGGAGACCACCCCATGCGCACCCCCATGGGGTCGAGAGCATGCCACGCCTGCGACGAGAGGCGCGCATAGGGAAACCAGCCCCTGCGCACCCCCGTATGGGGTCGAGAGCATGCCACGCCTGGTTACCCTAGACGAGAGGCGCGCATTGGGAGACCACCCCCTGCGCACCCCTTTTATTGGGTCGAGAGCATGCCACGCCTGCTGTGCACTGGACGAGAGGCGTGCGTAGGGAGACCACCCCCTGCGCACCCCCATGGGGCCGAGAGAAGACCATGCCTGCTGCGCTTCGGACTGGTGCTGAGCTGTGCTGTGCTGTGCTGATCTGAGCTGAGCTGAGCTGTGCTGAACAGTGCTGTGCTGTTCTGAGCTGAGCTGTGGCGTGCTGAGCTGAGCTGTGCTGAGCTGAGCTGAGCTGCGCTAAGCTGTGCCGTGCTGAGCTGAGCTGAGCTGAGCTGAGTTGTGCTGAGCAGTGTTGTGAGGAGGAGGGGAAGAGTGAGGTGTGTGAAAGAGAGAGAGAGAGAGAGAGAGAGAGAGAGAGAGAGACGGAGAGGGAGGTGTGCGGGTGAGACGCGGGTGCGGCGCGGCAGGGAAGAAAACCAGAACCCCACGAAGCATGTGGGGAACAAGACTCGGGATCAAAAACCGGTCCCGGGGAAGGAGTCGAGACCTCCTGGGGTCGCCGTCGTGGAATAACACGACGTCGGGGGCCTGGGTATAGCAGGCATCGCCCTTGTGCACCCCAACGGGGGGCCGCCAGACGGCGAATCACAGGCCCGCTCGCGTCCAGATTGTGGGCATGCCTGGGTTCGCTCGCTCGTTGCGGCGTCCTCGGCCCTTTCCTGGTGAGGGCTCCATCCCAGAGATCCGACGTCGTGGTTTTTGTTCGAGACGGGGTCCTGGGCAGTCCCGACCCTTCTCCCAGGGCCGGTTCTTCATCCCGAGTCGGTTTCGGATGGTCCCTGGGCCCGGCGAGGGCGTCGATGGAGGCGGCAAGAGGCGAAAAGCCTCCGTCGTGATTTTTGACAATGCGTTGGATCTCTGGGGGATGGACACCGCGATGCACCAGGCGTGGCACTTGGTCACCCCACAAGGCACGGATTCGCTTCGCCGGGGTCTCGGCTCTCCGGGGCTCGGTTCGCCGGGGTCTCGGCTCGCCGCTTCCTGGTTCGCTGGGGCTCGCTCCGCCGGGAGCTTGTTTTTTATTGTTCGGACCCGTAACGGTAACGAGCGTACGGGGACGGGGGTGCGGACCCCCCCTCCGTCCGGGCAGGCATCTTGTGACGCTCACATGTGTGCTCAGGTTCGAGGTTCGAGATTCGAGGTTCGAACCTCGGCGCAAACTCAAAATGGGTCCACGGGGCCCGACTGGGGCTCAGACGCACCAGTTTCCCGAGCCGCGTCCAGCCGCGGCGACGACGAAGGCCCTCGAGGGCCAGGATGCCTCGATCCTCGAGGTTCGAGGTTCGCATCCATCGGCGCGAACCTTTCAACGGGTTCCGGCCTGGCCCCTCCACCTCCTTCGCCTTGCTTCTGCACTCCATCCAATGCTCGTGCCCTCCACCTCCTCTCACCTCCTGGGGGGAGGGGGGAGCGAGGCACAGGGAGGAGGAGGAGGAGGAGGAGGAGGAGGATGAGGAGGACGAGGAGGACGAGGAGGGTTGGAACAGGATCGGAGGAGGAGGTGATGGGGGATCGGAGGAGGGGCACGAGGAGGAGGAGGGGGCAGAAGAGGAGGAGGAGGAGGAGGAGGAGGAGGAGGAGGAGGAGGAGGAGGATGGAGGATCGGAGGGCCCGCCCCCTGTCATTTCTCCCCTCGTCTCGCCGCCAAATCTTGCGCGCAGTGCCAACGGGCACTGCGCTTTAGCACTTGATCGGCGGTGTGGCGCGCCACAGGTGCCACAGAATGGTCGTCGTCATCCCTGCCGCGTCCGTTGTCATTATCCTGCGGGCTGCACCCGGAGTCCCGACGCCCGCCTGCCAGCACGACGTTTCCCCGAACAGTGCGCGCACCTGGAGTTCCGCTGAAGCGCAGCGCCACAAAGTGGCCCCGCGTTTGGCGCAACCTAAGGCGCAACGTAAGGCGCGGTTTGTGGGGCGCCCTGGGTGCGCAACCTATGGCGCAAGCTATGGCACGCCCTGGGGGCGCATCCTATGGCGCAGCTTACGGCTCAACCTATGGCGCAGGTAATTGTACGCAAGCACAACGTGTGGTGTAACGCATCGGGCAAGCCATGGCGCAACCAGCCGGTGCACTCTCACACTATCATTACGACTACTACCACTGTCCTCCCTCCATTCTCCCTGTGCTGGTGCAAGGGGCTGGACTGGGCGAGACCTGCACGCGGATGTGGCCGCGTGTCCTTCCAGCGCTCGGCCCTCCTACCTCGCGCGGCTGGTCACGCCAGCCCCCCGCATGTGTATCCAGCAAGTGGGCCCCAAGCGCTGCTGAAGCTTTCGGCAACTGGCTGCGGACACGGCGGCGGCGGCGGCGACGGCGACGGCGGCATCGGCGGCGACGACGACGGCGGTGACGGCGGCGGCGGTCACCTTCACCGCCGCCGCCGCCGCTTGCCGCCGTCGGCGTCGTCGCCGTCGCCGCCGTCGTCGTCGTCGTCGTCGTCGTGGTCGC